TCTATCTATCTGTCTGGCTAGCTATCCCCTTCTTCGTCTGTTTGTCTGTCTGTGTATTTGTCTGCCAGTCTGTCTACCTGTTTATTTAACTACTCAAACATGTACACACGATGAGCACTTAACTGGAGAGATCATGTGGACCCTCTCACTCTCTGACTCACTCTCTCTCTCTCTCTCTCGCTCGCTCGCTCGCTCGCTCTCACTCAGAGACTTCACGTGAAGTTGTTCTGCACGCATCCTTGTGTGCCGAGGCTCAGCCTTGGAACGAAGAGGACGACAACCCATGGGAGGCAGAGCCAGTAGGCTCTCAGCATGCTTACGGAACCGCTTTGACGGTTTCTGCGCCAGGATGTCTCAGTGGGCGATTCAAAGGCACACCCTAGGTGGGCCTGATTGTGATGCTTGAGGCTGTTGCCATATGACATGATGGTTGCTTGTTGGGGGGGTGTGTGTGTGTGTGTGTTTGTTTGTCTGTGCGTGTGTCTGTTTGTGGTCAAGTTGCCTCGACAATGCAGGATCGATCAGGCGGGCACCTTAGACGGGCGGCTGCAGGCATAGGCATCAAGACATAGGTAGGCTCAGAAGAGTAGAGTGCTCGAAGGGTTCAGCCGCGAATCACACCTTACCATCGACATGTCGTCGAGCGAGGGCACAAGCACGACTACGGCATCGCCGTGCACGGCACTGGCCGCTTCTGAGGAGGATTGGCAGGAGACAGCCGCTGCTTCGTAGCAGTGCAAGTGCCACACCGGGAAGAATCTTCCTGTGTTGGAGGAGCTGAACTCCAGCAGCATCACTCTCCTCTGTCCATCTCAAGCTACTGCGAACCAGTCGCTTGGAGACGCGAGTGCCTGCACGGCAACTGTGCCGAGCGATGCTGGGACACTGGTCGATGCGAGTCCATCGCCGTGCCAGGACGAAGCTGGGGCGATGTTGATACTGGGGGGTTGTTCGAGTCATGTACCGTAAAAGACAGGTCCCCAAAGAAAGTGAGAACAACGAGCGATCGCAAGGCACTTCGGAACGGCGTCAGCCGGTACTTATCGATCGGATTCGTCAGCCTCGACGGCGATAGGAGTGCAAAGGCATGCAAAGGCGCAAGGAAAGACAGGAGCCACCGCAGGCTCTGATACGCTCAACGTTTCAGGAAAGACTGCCGCGGGGCGTGAGAAGAACGAACAGGAGTGTATTGGCCTCCGACTTTTTTTAAAATTAAAGGCAACATGGATCGTGCAGAAGATTGCAGAAGTATGAATATCTTCTGCTGACCCAGCAGCCACTACATGAAGGCTTGCTGAGTCGGACTCTAACCACTCACGCGCATGCGAAGCAAAGCTGGCACCCTTGAAGCCGTATTAGCAGTTGAAGCCCAAACCGCAATCGCAAAGAGAGGCTACAAGTAGCAATGGGAGTCTCTGCTAGCGGATCCCCATAAACCCTCATGGCGAGCATTCAGTGCCGATCCCACAAGCAGTTATCAGTTATCAGAGTAATGAAAACGGAACGCAGCAATGGACCACTAATCCACGCATCTCGCAAAGATCCCAAGCCAAGATGAGCGCTAAGATCCAAGACCACGTGGCTTCGTGCACTGAGAGCTGGGCACCTCCGAAACAAGTCGCAAGAGACGCAACCATTTGCAGCGTTCGCTTTTCCGGGCATGACTCTGCAAGCATGTGTTAATCAATGTCGCTTTGATCCTTGATCGCAGAATGGAAATGGCTGAAGCCTTCCCTACGTTCCTGAATATTAATGGTTGAACAGAAATCTGTTTCATCAAGAGAAATATGTTTCATCAATGCTCGGGGCCGGTGAGCCGGAACCTCCTTCGGCAACCCGGGTCCGAGCTCTGCTCCCTGGTTTTGCAAAACGCAAGAAGAATCGATGCTTGCTTTATCGGTCTCTGTCTCTCTGCAAGACCACCACGGCCTCAAGCACGAAAAGCACACAAATCACGCAACCCACGAAAACCACGCATAAAGCACGACAAGTACACACAACATGGAGACAAAGCAGCAACTACATCAAGCATATCAAGCAGCTCGCACTCGACAGGGGATCTCGGGCAACGCAAAAACCTAACTGTGCAGAGACACAGGTTGCTCGAGCTGTGGGATATTCTAAACCCCCATACTTCTTCAACCGGCCCCCGTCGCAGACCGCACGTTGCAGCTTGCTTTAGGCAGGGATTTCTCAGCAACTGGCCAGTAGCAGTACAGAAGGAGCAGGAACAGGAGTACGACGTATGCAAACTGTTATTCAGACGTTTCCAAGACAAAAGCATACAAGCAACGAGAAGGTTCTGTATTGCTCAGCCCCGCCATCCCTGCATTTTACCGTAAACAGTGAAACGGAGCTCTATGTGGCTACGGACTGGATATCAGAATCGGCCAAAGCACAAGGTGAGCTCTATGTATGGGCCCTTCAATTTGTTTGTCAGGATACCACGACTACCACCACAGCCACCACCACCAAAACCATGCGAACAACGGGTACTGCTGCGTATTGCTGCGTGCAGAAACTCTCCTTGCAGCCCTGCTCGAGGACCAGGGCACCAGCATGACTCCCATTCTGGCAGAGAGGGCGGTCGCGAGCCCTTTGAGCATGCCGCCTCCAAGCACCAGCAGTGCTGCTGTGCAAGCCACCGACTTCGTTGGCGAATCTGAATTTCTGCATCAGATCCCCAAGGACCCGCTTCAGCCATGTACATTGCTTCACTTTCTTGCATCTGTGGTCGGACAGTGCTTTTGAGGAGCCTGTAGCAGAAGATCTTGTCACGAAAGACAGTCAAGCGCAGACGGAACCAGTAGGCTCGAAGCCGGGCATCGAAGGGCTCGCACGCTGCGTTTCCGCGTTTCGCAGGTCCGAGGAAGCTTTCCAAGTCCCGAGACCAAGAGCTCTTCGCCCGGCAGAACCAGTCGTTGGAGCTCCCACCGTGGCAAAATGCTTCCTATCCCAAGGCCACCCCGACTTCACCGAACGCAGAAGGGGATGCCAGATCCGAGTAAGAGGACGGCGTTCGCTGTGTCTGCCTGCGACTTATCCTCCTGCGGTGCACAGCTTACCCCAGCGAAAGGCAATCAAGTCGCTGGGCAATGAAGGCACAGACCTCGAGTCGGTTGTTGTTGTGTCAGTCTCTTTCCGCAGGGTTTTGCCGCTGCAGGATAACGGGCTGCCGACTGTTCTGAAGGACAGGGAAACGCTTGCAAGGAGTCAGGGAGTGGCGTGGGGCTTGGAGGATTTGGCCCAAACAGTTTCGGCACGGCGTCACTCCAAGGACTGAGCTTTGATGTTCACTTTTGTATGCTCCGGAGACGATGCGAGGGTTTTCACATGCTCCGAAGGAGACGGTTGGCCAGAGGGAGGGCCAGGGCCCCCGCAAGGAAAGTCCCCACAAGGAGGGTGCCCAAAGCCGGCACCAGAATCCACGGCCTCAGGTGGGAGTCTCAGCACGAGCGCCCGTGCTCGTGCCCCAAAAAAGGTCGAAACGCTTCCTTTCTGCCAGGGCCAGGGCCCTTCGGGCCCTTCTCGAGTAGCATCGGCGGACGCAAAGGACCCAACGAAAGAAAGGGCAAATTCGACCGCAGATGCACAGCGTGTTTCTGTCACAGCCACAGCGGCCGCAGGACCGTCCGCTGTCAATCTTCGCAAAGCGACAAGCAGGCCAATCCCCGAAGGAAGAGGACCGCAGCCCAGACGGTAGGCGCTTCCTAGTTCCTGACGGTCGAACTTGAAGGAGCCGGCGAAGCCGAAATCGGCAACCCCGTCTCGAGAGGAGAAGTCTTGAAGTCGTAGCTTGAATTGCAGAGCTGCTATGCGGCTATGCCTTATGCAACTGTCCGCCAACACCAACTGAGCAGAAGGAGCGGTCGCCAGACCGGCAGCAAGATCGCCAACGGCAGGATGGGCTCCCACGATTCGGAAGTGCTGTGCTTAAGCTTATGGAATGTGAGATGGAGGACCATGCTTCTTCGGCTCCAGCACAACGCGGGAGACAGTCAAATTCACCGAAGGCCAAGCTGTTGCCTCTCTAGCCCTGCAAGACTCTGCAAGAGATTGCTTCTCCGCCTGTCTTCGGCGAGACGTCATCCGCCCGACGGAGTCGAAGCGATGCAGATCCAAACCGCGACAAGGTCGACTTGTTCCAGATACCCGAGCAGCTGCGAGAGGTGCCGGAAGAGTCTCAAACAATCTCAAGGTGAAGTTCTTCAGCCTGCAAGCTGCAAGGCTCGCCGTCGCACATCTGAGCTCGAGGACCGCTGATGCAGATCTGGCTTTCGAACGAAGATAGTGTGCTTCCTGTTTCCTTTGTCGCTGAAGAGGCGCAGTTGGCAGAGCTGCGGCAGTCTTCCCTGCTAATTTGGCTGTGACCACCACGAATCATGTTTGTGATTTGATGGCCAGGCGCTTGCAGCAACAGGAACATCGTGTGCTGGTCCGGGGTTCAGTAGCAGCTACATGTTTGGGATGGCGCTCTCTTCAGTCGAGCTTAGGCAGCTGCCCCATTCTTCCCGCCGCAAAGAGCAGTGCTGACTCCACCTCCAGCTTTCTCGGCACGAGCGCCTGGCGACAGAGCAGTCTTCTGTTCAACGACGGCTCCGGTCTCTCCATTGACAACTGACCGCGTTGCACCAGAGGCCAGAAAGTTTATGTCTCTGCAGGTACCACCAGGTGACAGAGATCACAGAGAGCGTGAGGACCCAGCTGGTGACAAGCTCGTTTCTCCGCTGGTCAGTGCACGCAGTCGAAGCCCGCAGCGACAGCCTTTGATGGAGCCTTGGATGGCCCGCTCACAAACTCCGCCAGCCAGGTCAGATGTGCAATTGACGTATTATCGCCAGGCCTATTTCCCTTCAAGGGAGTCTGTGCCAGCACCTCCGAATTCAGTCCGGATGGTATCACCCACGCCAGTGACACCTGTGCCAGTCCGTGGCAATCCACCAGCGATTGTCCAAAGGTACATGGCGGCCAGCCCGACCAGAGTTGGTGTCTCAAGTCCAGTTCGAGTTGTTGGAGAGTGGCAGAGGCGAGTTCAGCCAACTACCACCTTCTGGTTTCAGCAGCCGTTTGTGGGCAGACAAACTGCGCCACCTTCGGGACATCCAGGACCGGGTTCACTCAACGAGCCAGTGGGGCCACCTACAACAGGACAAGCTCCACTGGCCCAAGATTCTTTGCCTGGCTCGAGTGACAGGCGCTCTAGCTTTCATGCGGGCTGCTGAGTCTGAAAGATGTCATATGACAATGAGGACCCTGAGGTCAGGGGCACGACATCCCCGAACGTCATCTTGGACTATCTTCGGCACCCACACCCACCCACCCACCCACCTACGCACCCACCCACACACACACACATGCACACACACACACACATGCACATGTATGTATGTATACTGTATACATGCATAGGTACATAAACATCAACTCGACACATATATGTATATGTGTGCGTATATGTGATATGCACTGACTTTTGTTTATCGGTTCGGATACGGTGTCAGTGATTATGGGGAAAATCGGATAATTCTTATTTCTTTATTGATTTTTTTATTGTTCGTTTTGAATTTTTTATTTATAATATTCGACCATATATTCTCTTAATAAATCTAGAAAATAATTTGAAAAAAAAAATTGGTGATTTTATTATATATAACGTTAGATTTCTATTCTTTTCTTAATATTTTAAAAAATTGTGATATAAAAATATTACGATAAATATTTATAATAGAGAATATTATTATTATAACATATTTTTGATTATTATTTAATATTTTTTTAAATGAATAGAAAATATTTTTTTTATTATTTTTGAGGGAAAAATTAGAATATTTTAATCGGTCGGAGATTTTAGTTGGTATTTTTAATATTGTAAATATACTTAATTATTTATGGTGAGATTAGAGTTGACAAATAGAAAAATATAAATAATCGGAATTTATTTATTTTTTTTGTATTGTTTAGGAATACGAAATTGAAAAAATCTTCGAATTTATTTTAAGTACAAGCTTTTTAGATATATATTTTTTCTTTAGGAATATTTTCGCTTTTGAGCATATTTTTATTTTCTCGAAAATTTCGCGAAAGGTTCTTTTTTCTATAGCCTTATAGAGTGAAGTGTATCGAATAAAATATATCGAGTTAAATATATAATATACAGAATGAAGTATATTAGATATATTTTATTTGATATAATTTATTTTGATTTACTTTATTTTGTACTCGATTTATTTATTTCTTTCTAAACTTTATTTAATGTATTTTATTCTGTTGTATTCTACTCTGTACTCGATTTATCTATTTCTTTCTAAAGCATTAAATATTCTTTCTAAAGTCGGAGTCAGCACTGATGCAACCCTTACCATGGATTGGCGTGGTCGAACGCGCGAATACGTCGTAAAATCGTAACTCGTCGGTGTGACGCGGCTTTTACTATGGATTGGTGTGGTCGAACGCTTGAACGCGAGGTAAAGTTTAAACTTTTCCGGGGCTACGTGTATCCCTTCCTATGGATTGGCGTGGTCGAACGCTTGAACACGAGGTAAAGTTGTACACTTTTCCCAATATGTCGGTGTGACGCGTAACCCTTCTTATGCTGGATTGGCGTGGTCGAACGCTTAACCTTTCCCATGGATTGGCGTGGTCGAACGCTTGAACGCGAGGTAAAGTTACAACTTTTCGGCGCCACGCGTATTCCTTACCATGGATTGGCGTGGTCGAACACTTGAACACGAGGGAAAGCTACAATTTTTCGGCGCCACGCGTAACCCTTACCATGGATTGGCGTGGTCGAACGTTTGAACGCGAGGTAAAGCTGCACATTTTTTCCATTATGTCGGCATGACGTGTAACCTTTCCCATGGATTGGCGTGGTCGAACGCTTGAACGCGAGGTAAAGTTATAACTTTTATAGTAGTATAGTCCTATAGTAGTAGTATAGTAGTAGTACAGTAGTAGTACAGTAGTAGTATAGTAGTAATACAGTAGTACAGTAGTAGTATAGTAGTATTACAGTAGTAGTACAATAGCAGTACAGTAGTAGTACAGTAGTAGTGCAGTAGTAGTACAGTAGTAGTGTAGTAGTAGTACAGTAGTAGTATAGTAGTAAAACAGTAGTAGTACAGTAGTAGTACAGTAGTAGTACAGTAGTAGTATAGTAGTAGTAGTCTACTAGTTTAGTAGTAGTGCAGTAGTAGTACAGTACTAGTACAGTAGTAGTATAATATCTAACTTTTCTGCGTGACATGTAACCCTTGTCATGGATTGGCGCGGTCGAGCGACCAAATGCGAAGTAAGTCAGGCGAGCGAACGCGATGTCTTGAGGGTTCCGGCGCAACCCTACCGAATTCGATGACTGTATGACTGTCGGTCTTGGACGGATCACAGGGAAACGTGTATGTCTATCTATCTGGCGCTGTTTTGCGAAAGGTGCGCTTGGATTGGATATGGGAAAAAGGCTTCTTCTTAGAAGATTCTGCTCGATACTCGCAGGCGCGTTGATCGAGTCAGCTCGGCCGCGATGACACGGCATACAGGCCTGGATTCTCTTTGTCGCTTGCAATTTTTGTTTGCGTTGCTTCTTGGTTTGTGCTTCAAATCTCTGTCTTATGCAGATGTAGTGTATGCATGACCCGCAGGCTTTGCTCCAAGGAGGCAAACATGTTGCAACGTATTTTTCATAATTTAGAACGGTCAAAGACACGTTGTAACAAACATTTCACGACTTAGAACGGTGCTTCTCGAGCTCCGTGCGGCGCCAGGCTTCGCTGCGCTCGGCAAAGCCCTGTCGCAAGACATTCAGCTGTCGCTGCGACGCCATGCACTCGAAAAGCAACGGCTCCACACCCGCCCTTTCGCAAGATAGCGTCGAGGCAGGCGTCAAGGAGTTGTATGGGGTTGCTGCCGGTGCGAGCGTGCCGCGGTTCGCACAGGGGCGCCGCCTTTCCAGAGAGGCGTTGCTGGACGCTCTGTTCTGGTGCATTGTTTAGAAGGAAGCATCCTGGGAGATCGATGCCATGGATGATATTTCGTGCCCCGGGTAGAGGCGGGCCATTCTTGTCGAGATTCTGTCAGGATGATGAGGTCGCAGCGTCCGGGCAACAGCTCGACGTTTTGCGAGAGGGCTTCGCCGAGCGCGGCGAAGCGTGGCTCCGCGCGGAACTCGAGAAACACAACGTAATGGAGCTGTATGGGGTCGCTACCGCTGCATCGATCGTCACGGGTGCAACTAATAGAGCATCCTGAGAAGTTTGCACCCTTGATTCCTTATTTCGACACTGTCTTTCGAAAGGGCAAATACACAATTACAAGAAGAAATTCGCTTGTTTCTTGCTTCTTCTCCTGCCAAGCGTAAAGAGATTCTTAGTATCTATGCACTCGATTAGTGGAATCTATCTACTTGACTCTATGCACTGGCCTTTGTACTTGATGGCTCTGTGCACTTGACTCTGTGACAATATGATTCTATACATTAGACCCTATGTACTCAAACCGTTAACTTGACTCTATGACTTTATATAGTTTTGACTCTCTGATTTTATACTATGCACTTGACTCGATACACTTCAATCGATGAACTTTACGCTGATCTACTTCACTCGGGGTACTGTGCACCGGGGCACTATGCACTCGGTACTCTGCACTTCAATCGATATATTACGCTGCGTGCCTGATCCATCGGTATATTATGCAATATAAAGTGAGAAAGCTAAACTCTTCGCCAATGATGTTTTCGGGCCACGTGTCTTCTAGCTTGGATTTAGCACGGTCATTAATGTTTTCATACTACGAGCACGAAAATTATAAATTTGCTCAATTCTTTCGAGGTATTACACTAATATGTCCTAAAATAAATTTATAAAGGTAGAATTTTTTTTCCCATGAGGACGAATATATGTAATTCTTACAGGCTTTTCGTTCTTTATATATATATATTGATATAAAATTTATCGAGATAAAAGAAGTTGATAGCGACCGTTGCCGTAAAATCGCCCAATGTCGCCGCCTGCGCTGCCGACCGCCCTGTCCGCCACCGATTCGCGGCTCTTTGTCGCTGACGTTGCACAGGCGCGGGTCTGCTGGCTCTTTACTGATACGTCAACTCGTTATATGGGCAACAATCTCTGTATGCGCCAAACATATAGTCCCTCGATGGAAGCCAACTCCATCCAACAGCAACGCGTGTTGTCGCCAACACTGCCGAGGCGCGGCTCTGCTGCCGCCTTGCCACTGCCGCATAGCCTGCTGTCGCGACAATTCGCCCAACGTCGCCGCCTCCGCTGCCGACCGCCCTGGCCGCTGTCGACGTTGCACAAGCGCGACTTTGCTGCCGCTTTGCCGATGCATCAACTCGCCATGGGCAACAATCTCTGTATGCGCCAAAATATGTAGTCCCTCGATGGAAGCCGTCGTCGTCCAATAGAAACGGGTGTTGTCGCCAACACTGCCGAGACGCAGCTCTGTTGCCGCCTTGCCAGGCCTTGCCACTGCCGCATAGCTTGCTGTCGCGATAATTCGCCCAACGTCGCCGCCTCCGCTGCCAACCGCCCTGGCCGCTGCCGCATCAGGCTGCTGTCACGATAATTCGCCGAACGTCGCTGTCTGTGCTTCCGACCGCCGCCCTGCCCGCCGCCGATTCGCGACTATCTGTCGCTGACGTTGCACAGGCGCGACTTTACTTCCGCTTTGCCGATACATCAACTCGCTGTGGGCAACAATCTCTGTGTGCGCCAAACATGTAGTCCTTCGATGGAAGCCGTCACCGTCCAATAGCAACGGCTAGTGTCGCCAACACCGCCGAGGCGCGGTTCTGCTGCCGCCTTGCCGTTGCCGCATTAGCTTTCTGTCGCGACAATTCGCCCTTTTGTTAGCTGTTGGTGCTGTCGGGGGGAACGTGGCTGGGGGAAGGTGAGTTGGGGGTCTGTGGTGCCTTGGGGCACCGCGCCTCACGGCCCGACCTGCTGCTTCCGTTGGCTCTTGTTGTCCCGTTATGTTATCAATCTCGTGCCGCAATCGGACAATTAGCTTGTGTTGTCGGGGGAACGTGGCTGGGGGAGGGTGAGTTGGGGGTCTCTGGTGGGCACCGCGCCTCACGGCCCGATTTGCTGCTGCCGTTGGCTCTTACTGTTCTGCTATGTTATCAAACTTCTGCCGTAATCGGACAATTAATTTGTGTTGTCGGGGGAACGTGGCTGGGGAGGGGGGGTCTGTGGTGCCTTGGGGCACCGCGCCTCACGGCCCGACCTGCTGCTTCCGTTGGTTCTTGCTGTCCTGCTATGTTAGCAAACTTCTGCCGCAATCGGATAATCAGCTTGTGTTGTCGGGGGACGTGGCTGGGGGAGGGTGAATTGGGGGTCTGTGGTGCCTTGGGGCACCGCGCCTCACGGCCCGACTTACTGCTGCCGTTGGCTCTTGCTGTCAAGTTATCAAACTTCGGTCGCAATCGGACAATCATCTTATCCGACACATATATTTTATGCAAAAGAACAAAAAGGATAAGTTATTTTCGCGCGGTGCGGGTCGCACATGCATGATTTTGTGGCAACCACACGTGTGAGATTCCGACACCGTGTCTCATCGTTGTCGAACACACGTGCTGCATTGAACAGAAAGTCTGTTTGTGCAGCAAACATATGAGACAAGAAGATTCTTGGGGTGCCTCGGAGTCTTTGAACCCACGGGTCAATCTTCGGAGGGTTCGGACCTTAAATATCATGCTCGGCCACCACTGGGGTTGCCTTGGCACGGGTGGGTGGTGTCAAGTCCGGTAGAGCGCGCGCGGACTATAAATTACATACTCAAAGAAGTGGAAGAGAAGCGACTGTCTTAGGTATGTAAAAGGGAGGTCGTCAATAATCTCTTACCTCTGATGATGCTTCTCACAGGCCCTGGGGACCTGGGAGCAGGACCGGGAAATGACTTGTTTCGCCCGTCACAGGCGGGGGGGCCTGGGAGCAGCACCATCTATCCGGCTGAATAATGGCCCCGCTCTGAAACCTCAACAACCTCGATTTTGGGAGATCCGACAGTACAGAACTCTCGGCAATTTTTTACGAGTGGTTTTTCTCAGAAGAAGAACTCACGTCCGATGCCTACGTGCTCATATTATTTGGTATTTAGGATATAGGGGCAGGACGATCGTAGTCGGAACAATGGTATTTCTTGAGAAAACTTTATAGAAAATTCACTTCTTTCGGGGAGATATCGTGCGGTCCCACAAAAAAGAGAAATATACAAACTATTATTCAGAATCATAGACTCCGAGACAATTATTTCAGAAACAATTTCCTAGAATCAATTTCCGAAAGAATTATCTTCTTATTCTTTAGTCCGCCGAAATAAAGAATTCATCAACGATTTTTTTTAATTTTCTAATATATAAATATGCATTAAACAAAAATTTTATCTATAAAACACTAAAAATTTCTTCTATATGCATATTCAATTTATTATAGATTTACAGATTATTATTTCATATGACTCGTTATATTTATTTTAATTCCAGATTAATTATCGTCTATTTTGGGTTTCAATATTCGCGAATACTATTTAGTCATTTAATTTTAATAATTATGTATAATTAATAATAACACGAATATTCGTAAATAGAAATAAATAATAATACTAATATTGAAATCAATCATAGTAATATTATTAATAGAAATAAATAAGTCATAGATTAAAAAACAGAGGCCGTCAATATTTTAGATCTCGCTTATTATTTCATTTCGATTCATTTATATCAATTTATTGCTACCAAAATTAGAGTAAATCTTTCGTCGGGAAATTATAAATACTCATACGCCTATAAGCCAATATTTGTTAACGTCCAAATCCAAAGAAATATATCTTACCTAGACCCCCCCCGCCTTAATTAGTTTTCTTTTCGAATCCTCATATCGCCTCGCACAAACCATCAAAAACTACAACAATTCGCCGGAACTCTACGATACATTCGATTTCAAAAAAACACCTCGTTTCACTTTAAGAACAAATCAAAAAAATTATGAAAAGAACTATCTCATTTCAAAAGAATATCATTGAAAATAATAATCGTCGCTCATATAGAATTTTATTTTCTATCTAAAAGAAAATCTTTCAAATCAATTTTTTCCATAAATTATTTATCATTAATATTTATTATTTCAATTACTCGCATGAAAATATTAGAAATTTATCATAAATACTCATAATATTATCTTTTTTCTTCCAAGAAAATCTCCAAATCGATTTCAAATATATAGAAATAAAATCAATATCTAGTATTTCAAAATTCAATCAAATATATATTTCAATCGAAAAACCAAGAATCATTCTTTCTCGCTCGAATATATTTATCAAATAAATAAATAAAATAAAAAAATAATAACAAGAATAATCACATAATATTAAATTCACGATCGAAACCTGTAGAATTTATTATCATTCAAAAAATCGAACTAAGCCTACCATTTTTTGGCAATTTTAAAAATCGCGACATTTCTTGAAATTCCATAGCCCCTAAGAAAATTCATTCAAAAAATTATATGTCAGAAGACCAAGTTACAGGACCGAAACCGATGTGGTAGAGAAGTTTTGCTCGATATTATGAATTTTTTCAATGACATGTGTATATTTTTCAGAAATATAATATGGATATTGATATCATAATAATCAATCTATAACTCCAAATCTGATGAATTATTGGTCAGCAACGTGTGGTTATGGCAAAAAGAATTTTATTTCTTGAAAAATCCCGCCATGCCTTTGGACATCGAAGCGAATTGGGCCTGCATGCAAACATTCTAATGACAACTTCGGTGCAGAGTGCCCCCACCCCAAGCCTTGGCAACTTCCGTGGCTCCAGAGACTTTCTGTTTGGCTTCGTTTGTCATCTGCCGTGCCTTGGGCAGCGAGTAACTCTTTCCAGCTGGTTCTGCAAAAAAAAACACGCACAGACAGGTGGCCAAGCGCCCGGAGTTTTCAACTGCATCAGACCTCGGGCAGATTGTGCAGCGAGCTGTCGACTACTTCGGGTTTGTTGGGCTGGGCCAGGTGCGCAGATGATGCGGACACCAAATGGGAGACGCTGTGCTTTGCTGCTCCGGCTGCCTTCCGGAAGAGGTGCCGATAGCTGCTGACATGATCTGATCACGGCTAAACCACCGCGTTCCTCACTGACCAAAGACTTGGCAGTCTCAGCCTGAGCGGGGTCCAGCAGAGCCCAAGAACTGTGCGGGTCACCTCAAGTCCGCCTTGTGAGCAGCTGTGGACACACCGACTCGGGCAGCGCCTCAGTCTGGAACCCCTCGCAATCTACGAGTCTAGCGTAGACTTTTCCCACAGCCATCGTGGGCTAGACATTCAAGGATGCCGGCTCATGGCACTGTTGGCGGCAGTTTTAGCGCGTTCTACCTCAGAAACACCGAAGTACAGTCGATATGCTGCTTGTGGCTTCGGGTGAGGCAGCAGCGCTTTTTGTGGTGACTGCCTTGTCTGCAGCGTGGGTCACGCTTTGCCGCGCCTTACAGGAGGGAACTCCAATGCCGGGCGTTTTCCCTAGTTTGACTCGAATCTCTGCAACCTTGACCTTAGACTCCCACCCACACTGCGGCATGGCTTGCAGCCGCAGCAGCTCGCTTCATTTCAGTTGACGCGTAGGCAGCCTTGTGGGACGCCTGCAGAAGAAGCCAGAAGTTTCTAGCTAGGGCTGCTACAAGTCGTCCCTGAGTCCAGTCCTCAGGTGCCATCTCCGATATGCCTGCCAAAGGCAAACTGAAGGCCCTTCGCCTGCAATCCGCGCTTCAAGAGATTGGCCTTGTCGAGCGCGTGCTGCAAAGGTTCCAGCCATGCCTCGGAGCGAGGCCATGTCTGTCAGGTGCACCGACAAGCAACGATGCAAACAACGACCGGGAGGAGAAGATCGTGCTTGTACGCTTGGCAGCGGGGTGCAACTGCAACAAGGCTATGCGAAGCATGCAGCTCGTAGTGGCCGAGATAGCTAAAGAAACACCAGCAGTCTGTCTTCAGCATGAACAGCAGGCTTTCCTTCAGACTTGCCATCTGGTCAGAACGACACATAATCACAACTTCTATCGCCTCTCGGCAACATAATCCACGGCTTACAAAGCCACATGTTGTAAGAAGCAAGAGTTCCAAGTAGGCCAGGTGCCCATGGCTCGTGACATTCGAGCCGGGATGGCCTCATGCACACAACACCTTGCGTCTTCAAGCTCTGTAGCGTCATGAACTCTTCCGATCGCGTCTGAGCCGCTTTGGAGGAAGACTCTGAACTGAAGGAGCTTGTGTCCTTGAGTGGCACAGTATGTCGCAACGATTGGGTCAGCGCGTCGCGCCATCCGCATGAAGGCCTCCCAGAGAATATCCATGATGTCTTTTCTCCTACGAGTAGGACAGCATACAAGTTCTGCTCCCGTGCCAGTGCTGCTATAAAGATGTAATGTAACAAATCCTCTCCTTTCTGGAGGAAAGTGGGCAAGAATTGCCTCCCATTCCTTCAAGGGCACCAGCAGTTCAGCATCACCGGTGCAGCCACACGACCGGGTCCTCCACAGGAGTCTCCTGGAAATATCTGGCCTCGGGTATGACAGAATGCAGACTGACAAACACAGACGCCCACACACGATGGCGCTTCACATAGCCATAAGGATCCGGCAATGGTGGCATTGCATAGTGGGCTCAAATGTAACGCCACCTCGCATGAAGTTGTGACCACTTCGTGGTACACTGCACCAGAAATGTATCACCTGCCTGTGCTGCTTCACTGGAAGCGCCTTCAGCCTCGAGACAGGCAGCTAGTCAATTGCCCCCTGGCGCAAGCACCGGGAGCCCAGCAGCACGGCTGGAAGGCTCCATCCTTGGCGGTGGCCAGGCTCGAGCATGTCTAACGGCTTCAACCTGTCGCATAAGACCCTTGCACGAGTATCGGTCTGCACGGGTGTTCCCGGACCTGCATTAGGCAGGTGTTTCGCAGTCGTAGCTGTAGCTGTAACATGCTGGAATCCAGGCGTGCGACTGCAGGCTTGTTGTTAAGAAGCCAGGTATCGATAATCTCCGGCTCATCCTGATTGTCACACGAGCGTTGTACCAAGAGCTCTGCCCCAAGAAACAACGGCTGCATCAAAACTGCTCCCCATGTGCCTCCAGCGCTGCACAAGCAGACGAAACTTCGAGTTTCTGCTCCGCTTTCGACGGCGACGAGTTGGAGGGATACCCGGATTCCACAGCCGGCTGCTGGTTGCTAGGAGCGAAATTTGCAGGGATGCGGTCACTGTCACCAGTAAGGCAACTTGCAGCAAGCTCACCGGCGGCTGCCGAGTTGCTCATGCCAGCAGAGCAACCTGCATGAGCCTGAGCTGCGACTGCCTCATCTGATGCAAGGCGTTCATCGCGGTCCATGCCATTCACCGCCTCAGTGACAATCTCCTCCTGCTCTGTTGCTTCTGGCTCTGTGCGCTGCACCTGCTCTTCAAGAAGCTCGCCTGCACATTGCTGAGCTCCTTCAAGCACCTCTGCTTCAGCGTCTGCCCCTTGCTCCTTATTCATGTGTGGTGCATCTTCTGTGCCATGCTTGTCCTCCCTGGGCAAGTCTTGCTGCTCCTTCGACTCGTGGGTTTCTTGGAACTGCTGTGTTCCTGGATCTCTTTCCTCAGCTGGTAGAGCGGGTGCCTCAAGGCCTGCAGCACGAGAGACCCAGGCTGCGGCCCGCAATTCAGTGTCTTCCTATCTCAATCATGCTCCGAGTTTGAGGATGGAACTTATCAACGACACTCTGCAGTGCGCCACTTTCGGCGTCTTCTTTTCCCCAAGCAACGTCCACTGCCCAAACCGCTCTGTCTCTCTTGTACAACTTTTGTGCATAGATACGGTGCTTTAAGTACATAAACATGCTATACGTATGTATGTCATCACCTCCGGTCAATGTCGTGTGATGCTGTTGGCTGAAAGACATTGACCCACTGGCCTTGTCGAACTTCTGCCACCTCCACGGCACATGCACTCTAATCGCCAGTGATGCATGTCGAGGGACAGTGAACTTCTCAACGACACTCCACAAGTGCAACGACCATAAGAAACAAATGGAGCTTGGAAGGAGATCGCATCCAACACGATGCTACGTTGCTACATGCTCTCTCGCACTCTCCAACAGACAATATTGAATAAAGATGGATGCCGCAGGCCAGCGGCATTCGACACTTTGAGCAGCATTCGAAAGCAACGCGCAGCTAGCAAAGGTTGCAGAAAGCAGTTGGCCCGGGGTTGGTAGGCAACTCGCGACAACAAACGCACCCTGAAGCAACACCCAACTTCAAAACGCTTCGCGTCACTAAGCAGCCAAGCAATATCGAGACATCTGCGAACGCAGCCAGGGCACGCTATCAGTCGCATCCGTTTCTGTACTGGTACCTTGACACAATGCCAAGAAGCATCTCCAAACGTAGCTGTTGTGTTGTTACGAGAGAACTAGACCTTAGCTCCATGCTGTATTTGGGGTGCGGCTTTTCAGCAACTGCCACCGGGCCACTTGCCACAACAAGGCCCAGGGCGTCCGCCGTGTCTGTTGGCAGGGTGCCTGCCACAGCCTCCTTCGCAGCATCTGGCATTGCAGCCAGGATTGCCGCACGGTTTTCGCTACCCATCAACAAGACCTTTGTGCGTTCGTGTGCATTCACGCATACGAAAGCACTTGCCAGCATCAGCTGGTTCGACTGAGGCTAAAGCCAGTTGTCCAGCTTGACGCGGAGGCATGCGACCCAACATGGTCGCTGCTTCTTCAGGTGAAAGGTGTTGGAGCGTGGAAAGGCGTGCTTCCAATGCATCCGCCACCTGGCTTTGGAGCAGGGCGGTTGCACTCCCTGAGTGTCTGATATATCCACATGCTCAGCTTTGCAAGCAGATTTGAACTGCACCTCTTCATCATCTTCGCTTTCGTCGGCACTTGCCATGGCAAACGGTCAGTTTAAAGGCGTGCCACGGTTTCACAACGACATCTGGCAAACTCAGTTATGAATTTCAGAATGCTGGACGGTTGACTTGGCCACTCGAGAGGCAGTCGAGCCTGTGCAGGTGGTGAGAAGAATGACATCAACAAAAGCCCTTTGACCTCAGACGGTCCCATGTTGCCCTGTGCAGATGCTATCGGCAAGCAGCTTTTGGCAAATGCTCCGATGCTTTCTCACGCCAGCGTAGCGCCTCGGAAATGCTGTGCTAGCAAGATAGGAGCCTGTCCCTAAACCTGCGGCCTATTTCTTCTTGCTGACACCAGCTGCTGCACCTAAGCTGCGCGCACTGCGCATGTTCTCCGATGCTCGAATCAATATCTAAGGCGCAAGCGGGCCGCCGTTGCCTTCGATTCCAAGTCCTGGAGCTGATCTGCCCAGGAGGCCTCAATCTTTGGCCGAGCCTCGGTCTGGACTTGACGTGTCCTCGACATCGGACCCCTGCACAGAAGATTCCACGACTTAGCTGCACCACCTCTGCCATGATCGCTTCGAGCTTTGCCTTCCACATCTCGCGGTTTTGTGCTAGCCGGGCATGATCAAACTACACGACCGTGTGCTGCATGACTCTGCATGCACAATTCCTTCGGAAAAGACAATGTTCTTGAGCGCCTCTGCCAGCTTTTTGGCCTCATCGAGTCTTCCTTGGGCCTTTGGGATTCCCGGCAACATCAACACTTACTTGCTGCGGCTTGGCAGTTGCGCACACAGTCCTCTTGTCGAAGCTTGTCTTCGGCTTCTTTCAGGCGCTCAGCGATGGCCTGCTCACAGATCTTGAGGAAGAAGCCAGCGCATGAAAGGAGGTTCGGCCTGTTCCAATTTCTCCTCCGCTTCCACCAAGCGGGAGGCTTTCTCTCGAGCCAGCCTTTCTTTCACTTCCTGTAACTGCGCCTGAGCTAACATCGATCGCACAGCAAAACAGCCACCGCACAGACGGCAGAATTGCCTCCATCTCTGAATCAGCTTCGCTTTGGAGAGCTCGGAGGGCCACTTCCATCTGCAGGGATGTCTAGTCACTAAACCGGCGGAACTCCGACGGACCAATACCAAAAGGACCAAGTAACAGCACGACAGCACCAATGGCCTCTTCCTTCTGCTTTCCTTGCAATGCTGGCTCATCGATGGCTGCATCCTGGGACAGTGTGGCACGAACTGGTCTTTGAAGTTCATTGTCCTGCGCGGCTACTGCTACACGGACTGTACGAGATGTCGGGCACGTCCGTCGTGCAAGGACGCTGGAAGCCGGCCGGATTGGCTTTCAATCGGTTCAGCTCTTCGGCGGCAGAAGCCACAGCCCGCTCGGCTCCCTTCACAATGCAATCATACTTCGGGGAGCTGGGTGCTCTCATCGGCTTCGAGTGTTCCCAACGCCAGAAAGCTGCAGCCGTATGAGATCGCTTTGCACCTTGATGGCTGTCGCACGCGAAGGAAGACCGGACCTGGCGACATTCTGAGAGGCCTCGCCCAACCGTTGCAAAAGCCGTGAACCAAATTGTGGGCCGTGCATAACAGAACTTCCAGAGCTTTGTGACCGTGAGCGCCTCAGTTTTCAGGAGCCTCTAACGGGGCAATGGACTCGACACGACAGGTGAAGTTTTTGCAAACCTAGGGCCCGGCGACCTCTTTCTGCGTCCTTTGCGACGTCTTCGCCCTACTCGAATGAGCTTCAACGGCAGTCACAGCATTATCAGACTCGGCTTGCATCCGTTCATTCGCGTCTTGATTTCGTGATTTGCTTACGCCTCGATGTTCTCTTCGTCGACGTTCTCGCCTGTGCCTGTATTTGCAATGTAGGTCGGGAAGTCTTCTGTGCTCAGCTAGTCCGATTTCTCAAACTGTCTCCATGGTGGCCTGCGTCCGTGTGCTCGACGCCTGCCCTAGATCATTCGGAATAACACCGCTGGCAAAGCTTCACCGACGAGCTTGCTGAGCATGTGACTTTTGCATGTCTTCGTCGTCTTCTTGTTCTGCTCCGGCTGCGGCTTGTGGCAGATTCTGAGCCCGATGCCTGAGCGAAGTGGCCCTTTCGCTTTGTCTCAAGGCAGAGGCCAGGCCTGCTTTTTCTTGCGCTTCGAGCCTCCGGCAATCGGAAGCTGTCGGCTGAGGCCCAAGGTGCACCAACTGTACGAGTACTATTGAACACGCCTATTCGGCCCATGTTTGGTCAGGAACTCAGACTGTGCGACTCTGGGCAGAAATGCAATCCTGCGGTCTTCGATGCAGCCGTCTTCAGGAACTCCTCCAGCAGCTGGATCTTGTGCCTCCAACCGCGCACATGTGTGCAAAACTCGTGCAATGATATAATCTGGCACCAGGCCTTGCCGGATCATAGATGCCGTCCCCATGCTCATCGCAGTATGCATGCCATGCTTTTTGGAAGGCAGCAGAAGCTTTCTGGTGGCTTTTCACCTGTGCTCTTTGCATGAAATGGCAGACAAGACTGCAACAAGGATTTTCACATGCCTGGTCGATGAGAACTTGTCTGGAATCTCCGGCACTTCCCGCATCCTGCATCTGCAAGCTGCTGTGGCGACATGCTCGATGACATGTTTCACCAAATGAAAGCGGCATCGGTCCGACATGTAGTGCGCGAGCAAGGCTCAGCAGAACCATGAGTTGGACACAGGCCGGCGGAAGAAGCTTATTTTTGGAGTGCTCGTTGCCCGGTCGGTCATGCTACGGAAGGTCTGTGGGAGTTGGATTCCGAAAGCCTTGCATTCGATATTATCCTCACATGCATGGCAAACCTGTCCATCGATGCCTAGGGTCGCAAGCAAGCCACGCCCGTGGTGCTTGCTCCAGGACAACTTCCAGTTTAAGCTTCAACCTTATAAATTGTCTCCGCATTTCACGAAGCTCACGCTCGCACGCAATCGGTTCTCTCTGTTCCTCTGCCGGATGTAGCTGGTGCTGCGCCCTGCACATTGGCAGGTGCGATTTCTTCGCGATTTGCGGTTGCGCTGTCCGGGCCTCCAGTCATCCAGTCAAAGCTTTAAACAAAACGACTCGGAAGCGTGTGAGGCTGGCCTGCATGCCCGGCATGTGACACCTCGGCATTTGCGAAATCAAGCCGGCTAGCTCCGCCGCAAATGTTCGGAGGCTGACCTCCCCTGAAAATTGCATTCGAGCCGACTGCTGCCCCATTCAACGTGAAACACACAGACCTCGCCCAAGCTGGTGGAGGCTGACAGAAGCTCCTAACGGACAGTCTTACTCGCAGGTGCACGCAACAGCATACCGGCAAACGAAACGCTTGAAACACTTTAGGACTTTGGAACATTTTCGGACCAGAAACAAGATGCAGGACCGCACCCGACAAGTTCATGCCCCCCTCACTTCCGGCTCTGGCTCCCACCCGACACTGTTCCCGTACATTCTCGCTGTACTGAGCACATGTGGCAGCATGGTGTGTTTTAGAGATGATGACTTGCTTGTGCTACGTACGATTGATTACCCTGCAACGCTGCACGTGCCGGTACTGTGATTTTAGCGAGCCCACGGGCAGGAAGAGTCCTGGACACGCATCAGAGACAGCGGTGCAAACCTTATGGTTGGCCGAAATATACTGCCAAAACACTTCCGACCCGTCTCGTCTTGCGGGCTTTCGTTCCAAAAGTTGTGTTCTGCACAGCCTCGCGGACACAAGTCGTTTTTTTAATTTTCTTCATTGCTCCTTCTGGATATCTCTAGTCTCTAGCCCTAAACTAAGCAGCAAGGCGGCCTGACATAAATCTAGCTGATCTGCACCAGCGACCAGGCTTTCCATACATCAGCCCGCCGGCTAAAATGCTGGACTTGCCAAACCGATCCAAACAGCTCGTAGCAAATCCCCAATGCTTGCCCAAGATGTTAAGCTCAGCTCCATAAACCTGCACCATCCCAAATCTCGTGCCTCAGCTATGCCCGAGCAGCGTAGAATCAACACCAACTGCAGCAACATGCGCAACCTAAATCTGTCTGGCGGGCTGCTACCGGGGCAAGATCATTTTCGTCGATGCTTCTTTTTGTGGCTTCTTTGGCCTGGTATGCTGCTAGCTTATCTGGGCCCAGTGCCTTTGCCAGAGTGGTGCGAGCTGCTACTAGCTCGGCTGTCAAGGCCCCGCGTCGGATTTGATAGTCCCCACCAAAAGGGAAGTTCACATCTACGGCCAAGCGAAACAAGGTGAGAAACGCCAGTGTCAGCGTCGCGAAGAAACAGCGGTCTACGATGGAAAATTCGCTGTTGGGATCCGCCGCCTCCCTCAGAGCAAACGATATGGAAATAAATATCGAGAGTAAACCAAATGTCCAAAAAAATGTAGGTGGCAGTGTCAATGATTCCCTGGATAATCGCCCCGCTCGAAAGTCTCTCAAATTGTTCAACATGCCCAAACACACTTGCAAATCTGGTTCATACAGCGGTGCTGTGGCTTGCTGTTCTCTCCGCATGCGGCCCCACTTGAGAAGTGCTTGCCGATAGTTGCTGATGCTGTCGCTTTGGCGATCGCGATCAGCTATGTCCATCAACTCCACGCCCCTCGTACCATAAGCCATTCGCTCAGAGTGGTGCCACAGTGCCAGCAATGCTTTGTCCTCATTTTTTGCCACCGTTGTCCCGGTCCCACTTCGCAGAGATGTTTTGTCCAACGAATCGAAGAGTCCGACGGTATGCTCTGACAAACCTGACAACAAGGCACTTTCCTTGACGGACTCTGTTTGAAGATCTGCGAGGCGTTGCATCTGCACTTGAAGGGTCACACCAGCGTAGCTGCCGAAAACGAATGTCTCCACGGTTACAAACTCAGTCACAACATCTGCTAGGTCATCCGTGTTCCCACCGAGGTCATCGTAAAGCAAGCTGCGCAAACAGCGCACCACGGTTGGGTATGCTGCGAAAGCAGTCAGGAAAGCTACTCCTCGGTAAATTGGGCTCTCCAGCTGCGACAAAGGCACATTGGGACCGTTTTTGCGTGAGAGATCCTTCAATCGTACCGGCAAACCTTCCAATGCCCGTTCCAGCGCTGTTCGGGTCGCGTATGCACGCGGGCGCTGGAAAACCGAAACATCGACAGATGTGAATTTGCTCCACCAATTCTCCTCTTGAGCATCTGTCGTTTCCCCCGTGTCCTTGGCAGTTCGAGTGGCTCCGCGACGCCGTGTCGCAGAAAATGCCCAATACATGCCGGCAACTAGTGCAAGACCAGGCTTACACAACCTCGAAGTTGATTTTCTCGTGCTCATTGGTAGGGCGCATGCCAATCCACGGGTGGAGGCTTGCTGTGAAACTTTGCAAGGCGCACGGACAACGACATGACCAAGTCGGCAGCCGTGATGCTCCATCATTGCACCGCCATATCACACCAACACGACACAAACTCATGTGACTTCCATCCTCCTCCATGCTACCGTACCAAGCTTGAGCCGAAAGCATTTTGTTGGATTGTTTGATTGAAGTTCGTTGCTCATGTGCAAAATTTTGCACATCCCTTTACTGTTACTTCGTTCGTGGCGAGGCGAGGTGGGTGTGCCACAAGTGATTAGAAGAGGGCATGCGTGAATCAAGCAAGCGTCATGAATGCAGATACTATGTATGGGTGTATATAGCAGTTATCGTTCGGCCTGAACGAATAAGTCCGGACACCGAACCCGATCCCCCCCACCGAACAAGTTCCACCCGGGCACACGGCCAGCCAGTATAGCCAGTATAGCACATTACAGCACTGGGTATTTGTTCTGGGCCCAGAGACGACCCAGGAGAAATGAAAAAACACAAATTCCACCCGGTAACTGGCCACCTATTTTTGGAAACCACCAGTTTATCCTGGGCTCGAAGCATCGAGGAATATTTCAGCCCCTCGCCCTGCACGAGTTCCGGCAATTGGCTAGCTAGCGCACTGGCAAACGGGCGGGGACAACTGGAGGAACGAGCCTGCTGTTGTTTTTAAGTTCCGTAGCAAGCTTGGCTCAAGCTTCTGCCGGCGTGGGAGGGGTAGAGTAGCCTCGCTTCATGCAGCGAGTTGACATCACGATCGGACAGGTCACTTTCGTGGCAGCTCTTGACCGCGAATTTTTTCCCCGCCTCACGCACCTGCCCCCGCCCCTCAAATTTGCCGTGGCGGCAACTTGCCCTCAAGGCTTTCCTCCATCGGACGATGACGGAGAGCGCGGCGACGACTTCGTCAGGTCCGCGCCCGGGCTCATGGACGGCGAGGAGGTCGCGGCCTTGGGGGAGGCCGTCGCACATCTTCGCGCGGAGGTCGTTGACCCTGCGCTGGAAGAGCAACAGCCCGCAGCCCACCACAGCATCCCAGCGATGGGCGTTCTCCGCTGAGGCAGCCTTCTATTCAGGCCTACAAACGCTTGATGCCATTGATATCGCGGCCACGCTTCGCAAGCGCGTCTCACACTGCAAAGTGCCGGTGATTGCAAGCAGCACGCTGCGCACTGCCTTCCGTTGCAAAGCGATGGGACCCCCCAAATCATCCATGACCGAAACAAGAAGTTTTCTCAAACGCTGACGTGAACATTTCCACTCCGGGCCGTTTTTGTGCGATCGGTGTTAATTTGCCCCTCCCTGCGTGCCCTTCGCACCACACTTTGCGTCAACGGTGGCCCCTATTTGCCGCAACATTGCATTTGCCGGGCACAACTGTCAAGCAGCAACTGCGTGTGAAATGTGGGATATGAAACGCCCCATTGTCACTAGACTTCGGCTCTAATGAAATCCTTCCGTTTTGTGTAGTTGTAAGTTGCACCGGAAGCTGACATTCGATAGCGTTGTCTCATAACTCTGACCATGCCTCGCTGAAACCTTGCAGAACAGTTACGGTTCCCAGTTCTTCAGAGTCCTAACAATGCTTACGAAGTACGATCGCAAAAGTATACCTTCGTATACAAAGCTCCGGGCGGGGCCCTGCCCACCAAACTCCACGATGTCGCCTCTCGCGATGGCCGAAGAAGCTTGACTTTTTTTGACTTGTCATTGGTGGGAATCCGCAGGACCCGAGCGCGGCGCCCGGGCGCGTCGTGGACATCCGCGTGCGCAGGTGCCGCGGCTCTGGGGCATCCCAGGCGGGATCGTGGCCTTGAGCAGCGAGTGCCCGGCAGCTTGCGCTGCCGCCGCAAGGGCAGTGGAACCGCTGCCATGACGTGCAGAAGTTTCGCGGCGATCTGCGAGAAGCGAGCACGAATTGTTAGGAGGGTTTCGGGCCAGCAGGCTTAGTAGACGGCATGGCGGCCAGCAGCTGCCGAGCACAGCCCGAATCCGCCGAACCCAAGAGTAAGGCCTGCACAGCAGCAGCTGGCAGTTGATCGCCCCTGTCTGGCCCCTGTGCACGTCCGGAGGCGTGTAACTGGCGCGGGTAGGGCAGCAGCGGCTGCAAGCTGGGGCGCCTCGGCCTGAGGCCAGCAAGCGTCGCATGGCGAGACACGTAATCAAACACTCCGCTCGCATCGATGGACAGCAAAATTGCGCGTGGGTCCATTCCAGTGGCCACGCGGAGGAAGCAGGCATGCAAGCGGCTTGCGGTTCAAAGCCGAACTCTTGCGAGAACGTGCACTCGACCAGCCGCCGCAGCACGTCGACGATAACAAGGGCCCGCACGGCTTGCGTACCGCGATCATATGCGGCCGGTTCGGATAGTTGCGACGACCGGTGGTGGTACCTGAGCATGCGCAAGCCGACGAGCGGTGCTGGCATCTGAACTCGCGCAAGTTGCTCGGCAGAGCGGTGCAGGAGTGAGCAATCGGCTTGGTCGTCGAGCAGTACGCGCAAGCATTCTGCTGCCGATGTTCATCTAGCTGTCCATAGGACTGCTATGAGCGGATGCAAGGACAGCGGAAACTATCCCCCCGGCCTGGACGATAAGAGCTCTCGGAAGAAGCAGAAGGAGCCTGGAGCCGGTTCGCGGGGTCGCGGACTTTTTTTTTAGAACTTTCGGAGCGTGTCGGCGGAACCCCGAGCGAAAGCTTGGGAGACGAAGGCCCGTGCGGCGCGCACCGCTCGCCGAGTTGGATGAATGCAGAGGCCATCGCAGCTCGAGTTGCACTCTTCTTTTTTTCGGGCGGAAAGCACGAAGTCAACCTCAGGGGTCCGTACGCATAATTGCCTATGCTGCCTAAGCAGCAGAGCTCACATCGGCGCTCGCGCTCAGCGGCAAAAAATGCGGGGCTGATGTAGTCGTCTTCGTCATCGTAGTCGTCGTCGTCGTTGTCGTAGTAGTAGTAGTAGTAGTAGTAGTAGTAATAGTACTGGTAATAGTGGTACTCGTATTAGTAGTAGTAGTCGTCGTCGTCGTGGTGGTGGTGGTAGTAGTGGTAGTAGTAGTAGTAGTAGTAGACTACTACTACTACTACTACTACGACGACTACGACTACTACGACTACTACTACTACTACTACGACGACGACGACTACGACTAC